AATTTTCTCGCCACTCAAACACAGACAGTCTCATACATGCCCATACATGCACAAGAGATGGGGAGAGAGGAGACAGAGTCCACACTGCACACAGGAGGAGAAAAACAGCGGAAGACAATTATGCACAGCAGGGGAGAAGACACACAGTGTTTCTCACTCTCTGACACAACTCCCAACAACCAATCACAAGAAAGAACCTGCGAAGATCACAATTGAAACTGTCACTGATGATGAGCCACTCACACACACTATTATCGTAACAGAGTTTGTTCCAATATCTCGCCACACCCAAACTCACACCCCACTCCCTATCCTACACCCGGTTAGTAGCGCTATGTCAGAACAGCCTCCCAGAGGCCAGCGCCAACCWCCCTGATGAAGAACAGGTCCTGCGATGAAGTCTTCAGTGCCGCTGGACAACTCTGACGAAGGAACAGGCAGCTATGGCTGCCACCACCCACGAACCACTCAGTGTAGAGCCTCGAAGTAGCCCGGCCAGACACAGATACCCCCAGGGGTAGATGCGCTGAGGATGCCCCAGCTATGGCAGACTCAGAGAGGGCCGGCTATGGCTGCTGTTGCGGTCTGTCTCAGGACGCCGCCTGTAGACCGGTACCGCCACCAACTTCCTTGGCTTCTCCAACGCTGCTCGCGAGAAATGAACTGCTATAGACTCCCTAGACCTAGACCGGACTGACTGACGGACCGGTACCGTTGCTGTTTCGGCCTCTCAGCCTCTACCGGACCCGGCTATAGGCTATAGGACCTTCTAGCAGCATAGGCCACTTAGGGCCTGCCTGTCCTAGGGGTAGCCCGGGCGTGCTATCAGCAGTTAGGGTAGCTGTAGGAATTCAGGTTAGTACTGGGTCTCTATTTTCCCAGATTTACAGATCTGTCCCTCAAGAATTTCCCTACAGGCAGGTCTCTCGGTTAGCCCTCAGCCAAACAAAATTACGATTCTAACCTACCGGGTTAGTGTACAGCCTCGCTGTTAATCTCGGCAGCAAAATCAGCAAGTCATTGCAGGCTTACCCTCCCCGGGTGCGAGGACCTCCGAGCTAGGGGTGCAGACGAGGTGAACGACGAAGGTCACCCTTCTAAGCCGCCTCATAGCGCAATACAACAGACTTAGCTGTCTTGATCAGGTCTCTTCTGTAGAACCACCGGTTCTCAGAAGGGGGCTGGAAAGCGAACCTGACAAGATACTGCCGGTCGGGGCCAGTGCCCCACTCATCCTCAATGGCCACCACATCATATCCCTTGCCAGGGATTGGTGGGCCCCATTGAGGGGGCCGGTCTGGGAATGCATCAGCTGGCGTGAAAGGCAGCAGCTTGGATGCATGGAAGACCGGGTAGGTGCGTAGATGCAGCGGGACGTCGATGACATACGACGGACCGAAGGGGTCAGCGCCCACTGTATCTAGGACCTGCCATGGACCCAGGTAACGTGGCAACAGCTTGGGAGAGATATCCTCCTCCCTCGACAACTCAGAATTGGCCACCCAGACATGATCACCAGTACGGATGGGGGAAGGCCGCCTGTGGGGATTGGCTTGTTCAATCATGGCCTTTTGGGCCTTGAACAAGTTCGCGCGGACTCTTTCCACATCCAGACGATAGCGTCTGGCCAACTCTGCAGTGCCTGGCGTCAGATCAAGCTTAGCCTTGTCGATGATATCATCGAGAGGCTGGCGTGGTTCACGTCCCCAGTGTAATAGGTAGGGACTGAACCCTGTCGAGGAGTGGACAAACATGTTATACATGATCTGTGCCCTCGCTAAGTGAAGGTCCCAGTCCTGTTGATCTGGAGAGATGACAGGACGCAGCAGCTGGAATAAGACTTGGTTCATCACCTCAGCCAACCCATTGGCTTCAGGATGATGGCCAGAGGTCATGTCCAGACGTGAGCGCATATAGTCCTTGCAGTAGGACTGCCACTCATCGCTGCAAAATCTGGGGTCCCGATCACTGACGATGGAGGTGGGCGGTCCATGGTGCGTGACCCACCTCTCAGAGAAGGCTGCTCTCACAGCCGGTATTCGAGCTACCTCTGACAAGGGGATGAACTCTGCGTATTTGGAGAACCTGTCCACGCAGACCATAACGTGACGCATGCCCCGAGGGGTGGTCTTGCCTAAATCTGTGAAGTCTATCGACACAGATTGGGCAGGGCCATGAGGTATGGGTAAAGGTTTGAGCAGTCCCAAAGGAGGTTTACGTTGAACCTTGTTCCTTTGGCAAAGCTCACAGGTGTCCACATAACGCAGCATATCACTCCGCATCTCCTTCCAGAAGAAGCGCTGCGACAGGGCTGCATAAGACTTTAGGAACCCGAAATGTCCACGGGCATCATGACACTCTGACATGAGCAGTGTCCTAAGCCGTTGGTCCTGACGAATGCACAAGCGCTCCTCACCTCTGCTGTAAGTATACAGCAGGTCTGAACTCAGCGCATAGCCTGGTTCAGAGTTAGGATCTGCTTGCAGATTCCTGACAATGGGTCCGAAAGTCTCGTCCTGAGGCAGTAGACGAGCAATGGTCTGACAGGTCTCCTCTCCAAAGGAGTGAGTAGAGGAGATCAGCGCAAAAGAGTCAGGCCTACGAGAGAGGGCATCTGCTACCTTATTGTAGCAGCCCTTCTTGTGC